ATTCTATATGAGCTGAAAGAGAGAGATCTTCATGTTATAATGTTAATTTAAAAGAGAAAGGTGCAAGCAGATCAATCTTAGTGTCTCTAAATGTGCAGCAACCAGACAATTGTGATGGAATCCAAAGCACTTGGCACTAGCTGAGAAGTATTCTTGCCAAAAAGTCAAACCTGAATCTAATCAAACCTTTAGTGCTATGTTTCATTTATAGGAAATAGAAAGAAAAGAGACTGAGACCACAAGGAAGCAGAGAAAGCCAGAATATAGGACATCCCACAGGGCAGCTGACTTGCACAACCAGTCCATGTGGGGCTCAAGGGGAGGAGGGGAAACTGTCCTAGATTAACAGGCAGTTAAGAGCCAAATGCAGCGTAGGAAACTAATTTGTTCTGGCCTTCAACCTAAGAGAACATTTCTTATTTCATTTTATTTTTTTTAGAATTAAGAGCCACTTCATTCTTTTTGGGTGTCTTTTTATTTTTTATTTTTCAATGACAGTTTACTTTAAGTATTTTGTTTTGGTGTCAGGTGTACAGCATAGTTTTAGACAATGACACACTTTAAAAAGTGTGCCCTCAGTATTTCCATACACACCTATGGGGCACCGTTCATGGTTATCACAGTGTTACTCACTGTGTTTCCTAGGCTGTACTTGTCATCCCCGTGGCTATGGGAGGGAAGGCCCGGATCAGTGGTTGGGAGCCTGACTCCCCATTAGATTTACCTGGGCAGCTTTATAACACCTCCAGATGCTTGAGCCCCACCCACAAGCCAGAGAAAGCAGCGCCTCTGGAGGCAGAGCCTGAGCCCGGGATTTTGCGCAGTCTCCCCGGGGCGGTTCTCCCCGACGTGCAGCCAGGATTGAGACCCCCTGAGCGGCCGTGTGGGGGGAGGTGCCCACGCTTGGGTGTTGAAGAGTTACAGAGCGTGTCCGTCGTGGCTGCTGGAGCGGAGTTCAACTCCAGCTCTGCCTCTTCCTAGCTGTGCAATTTTGGGACAAGTTATTTAAACTCTGGGACTTGCTCCTCCATGAAATATGGTAATTCCTACCATATAGGCCATTGGAACCTACGGTTTTAGGAGACGTTTTACGAAAAGCATCGGTGTGGCCATTTGTGTGGCTGTGAGTTCTATTATTAACACTTAGACTGTGACAGCGATGACCGCAACACAGTTCTTAAAATGTGTAACAAAAGGTGTCCAGGTTTGAAAGTTGAGCTTCTGTTCCTGTTTGTTTGCTGTTTCCTGTTTTTTTCTGCTGCCCCTTTGATGCCTGCACCAAGCTCCCTGCTCTCAGAGAAGCCTCACCCTTGCATTGCTTTCTCACATTAGCCAAGGCCGCCCCTGCCTGGACCGCACGGAGGGACCTCACCACGGCCTTTCCACGGACACCCACTACCGAGGGACCTGGCTCAGGTAGTTATACCTGCGGGGCAGGAGGGGGCCTTTAGGCAGCCTCTCAGTTCAGGGGATTTTGAATAGGGTGGAAAATGAGGCCCTGGCTGGTGTGGCTCAGTTGACGGGAGCATTGCCCTGTGCACCAAAAGGCTGCCAGTTCAATTCCTGGTAAGAACGCATACCTAGGTTGCAGGTCCAATCCCCAGGCGCATACGGGAGGCAATTTCTCTCTCACATGGATGTCTCTCTTTCTTCCTCACTCCTTCTATCTCTCCATCCCCCTCCCTCTCTCCTTCTGTCTCTAAAAACCAAAACATATCCTCAGGCAAGAAATAAAAAAAGGGAAAGAAAAATGCGGAAAGAGTTTAAGAACTGAGGGAAAAATGTTTCTGCACACCTGAGATAGTATTTCAGGGGAAGAAGATGGTTGAGATAAACTTGTGCTGGGAAAAATAAGCTCCAGGCTAGGATTCTTGATTAGTCACAGCCTGGCCTGAGGCCAACCACCAGGGCTAATAATAGCAATGGAGTTTGCGAATTGATCCCATGAGTGTGGCCTCTGGGTTGATAAAGACAAATGATGACACTCACTACCTTTTTGAGTTTTGCAAAGGCCTAGACATTAAGGACCATTCCAGTATGTACAAAGGGGTCTGAAAGGAGGCTAATGAGGACTGGAAAGAGTCTGACATTTTGTACACACATACTGTATGCATTACTCCAAAATCATGACTACTTAGAAGGACAGATGGGGAAGTCCTGTTAAATTTGCCATTTTTCCCTTAGCAGTTGCTCAAGAAAATCTTAACACTACAGTGACAGGCATTCACGACATGACATCAAATCCATATATCGGCGCTCAGCAATGCCCAGCAATCCTGCAGTTTTCTAGTGCACTCTCTAGATGCTCTGAGATGAGCATCTGTGCCTCGCTGCCATTCCAGCCTCCCTTACTTCTCACTCAGCTGATGAAGTATCAAAGGCCTGGTCCGACAGCTTCGCCTTAGCCAAGACTTTATCCCTCCCCTTCTGTGGAATTATCTAGCTCATAGTTTTGTAATCTACTATTTTTATTAGCATAAAATTAGGTTTTAATTTACACACTCCTCTCCAGGTACTCCCATTTCTCTGCTCTACTTCACAGTCACATTTCTCAGAAGAGTTTTTCCTACTTCTCAACCCACTGGACTCTGCAACCCACCATCCAGCTTCTACACGCAAAGCACCATGGGGATAGTTCAGTCTACTCACCAGTGACCTCCATCTAACTAAATGCAATAGACACTTCTGCCTTGACTGTAGTTGCTCTTTCAGCAATATTTAGGTTGACCCTCACTCATGCTAGAATATCTTCTCTTGGCTTTTGAAACAGTGTTCTTTTACTTTATTGACCATTTCTTTTTCCTTTTTCTAAAAGATTTTATTTATTTTTAGAGAGAGGGGAAGGGAGGGAGAGAAAGAGAGAGAGAAACATCACTGTGCGAGAGAAACATTGGTCGATTGTCTCTCATACGTGCCCGACTGGGGGACCTGGCCCACAAACCCAGGCATGTACCCTGACTTGGAATCCGACTGGCGGCCATTTGGTTCACAGGCCAGGACTCAGTCCACTGAGCCAGACCAGACAAGGCCAGCTTCATTTTTAAGTTTGTATTGTTGTCTTTGGAAACTATCAAATGTGTCAGCTGATTGGCATTAAGGTTCTGCCCACTGTCACCAAGCAACCTTTTTCCATTTTCTGAAGATGATGAGTTCACATAAGGATTGGACTGTGACCTGCATAATTCTCAGGCTTGTTACATTAGCCCTGCATTCCGGCCACGGGGTTACCCAACTCAGAGGCTGCTCATTGGGGCATTAGAACCCAAAGGAGCTTCTGTGTAAGATGGAATTCTTACTATGCGGTCCTAGAATTCCAGGGATTTCAGTCCCATGATGTGTCCACGAAGCTCCTGAAACTGTGGGGAAAGTTACATGCTGGGATACATGCATTGTCTCTTTTGGTACAGAAAGTCTAAGGGCCACTGATTTCAAGGAGCACGGTGACTCATCAAAGGTTAAGAAACTACTGGAGCAGGACCAGATGGTCTTGAAGGTGTCCTTTGAGTCTCAGGGCTTCTGCTGCTTTGAAGGAAGACTCTCCAGCAGCAGCTGCCCCTGCACAGCTCTCCTCCCCAGTTGAAGACGGCCCAGCCGGCCGGCGGTGGCGCAGGAGCACCTGAGAAAAAGGAAGTGCCCTCGGTGTATGTTGTCAAGTTCTGCTTGGGACGCACTCAAAGGGAAATATCTCTGACCGACTTCTCCATTCATGGAGAGAACTGGAGCTTGTTGTCCACAGAAGAAGAAGCAGTGACTGGCATGCAGTTTCTGTTTCCCAGTGGAAAGAAGGCAAAGGGCTCCAGCGGTCCACGTTTGTCTTGGTGGAAAGACAGCTTCCATTCCAAGGTTGTGGAGACTGGGTCTGCTTTATTTATTTGTTGCCACCCTAGTGCGTGCCATTGCTCTCACACAACATGGAAATTTGCAGACGGAGCGCTGTCACCTCACTTCTTGGAGAATTCGCAAGCACCCCTAAGCTCCGTGTGTGCCCTTACGTAGGCAAAGGTGGCTGTTGTTTCTCAGCATCGTCTCCCATGTCAGGCGCTTGGCAGTCTGTTACCCCTTGTCTGTTTCCCGCTTCCTGCTGAGCCCTCCTCTGTGCACAAGGGACTAATCAACAACACGCACCTGTCCCTGCCTGAAGACTGTCCCCCCGCCCCCAGGTGATGGCTAAACTGCTGCTGTGCCACAGGCCATAGATATTAGTCACCAAAGGCGCGGGCAGGCTGTCTGCTTGTTCCTAGGAGGCTTTCCGGCAGCCTGAGCTATGGTGTGAATTCTAGCATTGGGCTGCATCTAGACAGCTTGGGGAAGTGCTGGCTTTTTTTAGGGAGCCATGGAAAGGAGATCATTTTGCAAAATCACAAGCAGTGGCTCTCATATCGGTTGAAAAAATTAATCATAAATGTTTTAAAGTTATGAAATTCTGGTGGGAAGGGACTTCAGAACACACTTGGGCCAGCTCAGTGGTTCCCCCACAAAGGAGATTCTTATCCTACAGCATTTGAACAAGTGCATATATACACCGATTACATTCACATTGTTTGCAAGAGATTTTTTCCATCAGCAGGGGAATAGTTGATTATTGTGATCCATGAGCAAGTGGGTGCAGGCAGAATTAGGCAGTTTTATCATTGAGCTGTTTTGCTCATTCAGCAAGTGTTTATTAGTGCTTACTAAGTGCCAGATACTCTGATGCTGAGACCAGAGAGACAGACCAAATAGACACACCCCTGACCCGACAGAACTCCTAGTCTGACCGGCTGGAGTATTCATTCCATCCATTCGTTCCATGAACATCCATTGGCATCGACTCTGTTAGGCATGGGGTTAGTCCCCAGGAAAAGAACAGCGAGGAAGCAGATTAAACCCTCCTTCTGAAAAAGCTATGTTACTTGTCCGAGGAGAATGCTGTATTGCTATGTCCAAAGAGATAAGTTCCAGAATATTATATGTATAGTTGATGGAAATATTTTTCTTTACCTTAAAAAAGTCTGGAAGGCCCTTCTCTTCTTGGTGGAGATAGGGTGTGCGGGTCTGGTCCCTGTAATATAAGGAGGCAGAAGGAAAGGTCTCTGGCACCTTCTGCATCATGTCTCCAGTGTGAGGGCTTCCAGGCTGCTGGTTGTATGCCCCAGGGCCCAGAAACTGGGGGAAAAAAAAAATGGAAGAATTTACCCAAATTAATATGTTTACCCCACAGGGGCAAATGGTCAAGACATAGATACTCCCTTTTTTATTTCACATGCTGTTGTGATTATTTGATGATCTCCATTTTCTTTTGTAATCACAACATAGGATCGAAGCATTATAGCCCTGCTGTCTTGTTTACCTCTTCATAGTAAGGAAACGAAGGCTGCTCCGCCTGCAGATAGCTGTTCTCTGTCTCACTGCTGTGCCAAGGAACTCTCCTACTCTAATTAGGAAATGAAAGGAAGAAAGAAAGAGGAAATGAAGTGAAATGAAGTGAGACGAAATAAAATAAAATAAAATAAAATAAAGTAAAATAAAATAAAATAAATTAGGTTGGGACAGGATGAGTAAGTTGAAGTTCACGGCCGACAGCAGAGTGTGGCCACAAGCTCGGACTGAAATTCTTGTTTTCAGAGTCGGATTCACATCACATCGATTATTGGGGATGGGAAAGATGGCGGAAGGGGAATGAAAAGTTACTTCAAATACCCTGGCGATGACAACTGGTAACGTACAGTGTAATAATATTGAATATGTGGTTTGTTCATAGAGCTCTGCTTAAGAGATTCACAATGTCTTTTTAGACTGAAAAAGTAAGGCCTTACTATGTTTTATCAGTCTCTTACGTTTTCTAGGCTTAGAATTCCTGAAGCAGAAATGCCAAGTGATTCTTCGTTTGGACTTCCCTGTTTGTACTTCACAGGTGTTGAGTTACTTCTACAAATCGAAGGCAGGGCTCTTCACCAGCAAAAAGATTCCTCCTGGGTTTAACGTGGGTGGTCTGGGACTGAGCCCACATAAGCTCCAAGGTGTGCCTGCAATTCATTTTGGGGCATCCCTTGAGCTTATTCTCATTCAAATTTAAGTTAAAAAAAATTAAACTAAACCACATTAGTTTGTCTCCAGCTTTCTAGGGAGAGAGTGTGGATTCTTCTGGAGAAAAGTAGAGATGCCCTAGGTGTAATTTTTAAGATTTTCTATCAACCTTTTCTGGGACTCTGCTGGAGAAGAGGGGAAAGGAGCGGGGCAGCTGGACCATTTAGGTGAAAGGTGCCCAAGTTCAAGCAGGGCTCAGATTTCGGGTGATTTTCACTGAAAACCTGTGCAAAGATCAGTATGAGCCAGAAATGTTACTTTAAGAGCTTCCAGTTCCTCTCTATATTTTCTTAGTTAAATTGACTATGCTTATAAAGGACATTCCAAGTAACTCATTTCCACATAGTAGTGAATTTATTTTTCTGAATTCTTGTTCAAATCCCTTTTGATTGTGGTACCACTCTCTTTTTCCCAGAAAAAAACAGTGAGTTTTTAAAAAATGGTTATTTAAGATATTCATATATGGTGGTGATGGTGGGCTATATGTTTAACTAGGCATATTATTTTAATATAGTTGTTTTGTGGGTGGGTCACCTTTAGAAAATATTTCATAATATTTTGCATAGTAATAGATAGCAAATCTTGCAAAAGCCCAGTGCTGTTAAGTGTCTCTGACCCAGTCATCTTCCCCAACATTTCCTTCACTGCTGCGAAGGAAACGTCTTATAATCATGTGATAATGCAACAAGGCACACTGGTTACAAACAGAAGTCTTGATCCAAAGGCAAATTGGTGCTTTCACCAATGTTTTTAAGCAGACAACACCCATTGTTTTGGTTTCAGGGTGAGGGGAAAGTCACCATAATATCGTAATTCCTCAGGAAAACACTCTGCTGTGCACAAGTAGTACTGTAACTGAACGCAGGTGCGGCTGCCTGCTGCTACAAAAGCCAATACTCAAGAGGCAGGTGCTGACATAAAGGAAAGTGGTTTATTTGCAGATGATGGCCACCTCCCAGATGGGGGGCCCATGTCTCAGAGTCCGTCTCAACATCTCAACGGAGGCAGAGGTTTGTATAAGGAAGGAGAAGGGAACAGAACAAAGAGATCAAGGAAGGGGGTCGAATAGTTCTCTCCGTGCAGACTAGCCCAGTCCATTCTTATAAGGCAAGTGATGGTCCAATCTGCACCATCCTGGTTTAGTCATCCTGGCTTCACGTCATCCAGGCTCCATGGATAAAGGTCCGCAAATCTCCTGCAGCTGGGGTGCCTGAGGGTCGGATTCTGTATTTTCTGAAGTTAGTTCCTAGGATTCTTATACCGACATGCTGTTTATTGACAAGCTACGCGTTAGTCAGAGTCAGCACTTACAGAAACAATGTCAAAGAGTGGTGAGGTGGCTTACAATTCCCCATTATCATAATCTGCGGTTACAGTCCCCTCTAGCTGTGTGAGCAGGAGCTCAGTTCACACCCAGTTTTCTGACACCTTTGTCCTACACAAGTTCAGTACCTTGAGTATCAGGGAACATGCTATTAACACTGGAAAGATGTGTATTAATTATATTGGGGTTCATTTTTACTTTGCTTCACAGGTTGGTGCTCAATCCACTGAGCCACACCAGCTGGGACTAGTTTGTTTTTATTAAAGGCGACAACTAGTTTTCCTAAACTTTTGAAGGTAGAGACTGTAGGTTTGCTTTTTTTTTTTTTTTTTGCATAGGGTGTTCTGTTGCTTAGCATGAGTTGGTCAATGAATATTTGGTGAAATAATGTTCATTGAGTGACACGAACAGCTAGTAGGAATGGGCACACTACACTTTCACATCTCTGTCTGCCTCACAGTACGTCTTCTATGGATCCCATTATCTAGTCCTCATTCTGGTGCTCAGTTTATTCACTGTAAGTTGAAGAGTTGACCCCAAGTAGTTTAAGGTCCCTTTGTGTATAAACAGTCTCAAAATCTGCATGACTTTTCAGGCCTAGAGTCTGGCCTAAAATCAAGCTCTGTGCTCAATCTTTTAGAGAGAGCCTAGCAGAGAGCAAATGCTGTTCCAGCCCACTAACGTCTCCTTCTAATCTATTTAAGCCAATAAGTAGAGAAATTCAGCAAGAATTCTGTGGCAGACTGGAGAAGTTTGACTTTCAAAGAGCCTTCCCCATGTTCTTATGCAGAGGTGTGGCAAAGAGATAAAGAAAGAATGGAATTCTGGAAGAGAGTTGTCTTTACCCATGAAAACCTTTAGGAGAAGGATCAGTGACAACTGCCAGAGGAGCTGGAAGCCTCCTGCCTCACCGGTAAGTAGAACCCTCTGGAAATGTATGCCAAGGAGGAAATCAGAACTTTGTTGCTTGAACTGTCCGAGCATTATATGGCATATTAGGAAAACGAGGACTGAGCCAATAGGAATTAGGGAAAATTCGGTGGGGGGCGGAGTCAAGGTGACTGAACAGGTAAATCCTCAGCTGGGTTCTTCCCGAAGCATATTAGTATTAAATCTAAATATTAGCACAGCCATCTCTGATAACCACCTGAAGACGAGCTGAACAGCGGTCCTCTACGATTATAAAGACGGAGCCACGTTGAGACAGGTAGGGGGGTGGATATGTGGTCCGGGCAGGTCCCACACCCCCGTGTGGTGACTGATGAATGGGAGGGAGAGCTGGGCTGCAAAGGTCCCCGGGAGGAGCCAGAGGTCTGAGCCCCACACCAGGCTCCCTAGCCTGGCGCGCCTATGCCGGGAAGACGAGTCCCTGTAACGTCCAGCTTTGAACACCAGTGGGGATTGTGTCTGAGACCGTGGAACGGTTGTGGGAGACCAAGGAGCTGTAGTTAGAGGTTCGGCGCAAACTCACTCCCTCCAGGGTCCAGCACAGAGGCGGCAGTTGCAGAATGGCCTGGGACATAGGGGAGGACGTGAATTGACCCACTTGAGGGCAAAGGCGGGAGGGGCGGGGGTTGGTAGGAGCTGTTTCGGGGCGCAGGAGCTCTGGTGGGTGTTATCGTTCCTTTGTTGAGCTCTGCTCCCATCCAGCCGGCCCAGAGCGGGCAGGAACAAAATCTCTCTCGTTCCCTCAACCTGGCTACACTGTCTGCTCTGCTCTGGCTTTTCCCTGAGACCCTGCCCCACCCAACCTGCTTCCCCTGCTGGAGCTCATTCCGACAGCTCCAGGCCCTTCACTGGAGCCTTGGGGCCCATCTTGTCTCTTCTAAATGCCTTCTAGCTCTACAGGAGTAGTGGGTTGCTTCCGGCATTCCTTGCAATCTATCTTAATTGCCCTCCCGCTCTACAAGAGCAGTGGCTGGGCTGGACATACTACTGCCCCTCCCAAATGCCTTCGAGCTCCAGGGGAGCAATGGCTGTGCTCAGCAAACCTCACCCCCACCCCCACAGCCCCCAGACTCTCCTAAAAGCCCTTAAGTGGCTGGCCTCAGCTCCCATTGTAGCTCCTGCTAGGAGCCCTAAGCCCAGCAGAAATGGCGCACACCTCAGCTCACATTATAGCCTTTTTTAAGTGCCCACAGCCTGGCACAAGTAGTGACTGGCCTGGGCTTACAAGATAGCTCCAACCAAGTGGCCCCAGGACTGAAAGTAGCAATGGCCTCAGCCACCACAAGAATCCCACCTAAGCAGCTCTAAACCTGACACACCTGATGGGCAGCTAAAATAATGAATGCCTCACAGGATATATAGGTGAGTGTCAAAAGGTGTCAGTATAAATATTGCCACTAGCACAAAAGGGCATACCTTCTAAAATAAAAAAATAATAATTTGGGAGAAAGTAAGCCACATAGCTATAAGACATTGAGGAAAGAAACTGAGGAAGATGCAAATAAATGGAAGGATATACTATGCTCATGGATAGGAAAAATCAACATTGTTAAAATGTCCATACTACCTAAAGCAATCTACAGATTCAATATAATACCTATCAAAACTCCAATTACCTTTTTCTCAGAACAAAAACGAATAATCCTAAAAATTTACATGGAACTCCAAAAGAGCCTGAATAGCCAAAGCAATCTGAAGAAAGAAGAACAAAGTTGGAGGTATCATGCTACCTGATATAAAACTATACTACAAGGCTATAGTATTCAAAACAGTATTGGCAAAAAACAGACACAGATTAATGGAACAGAAT